GATAAGGCCCCCCTCCTCTTCCCCCCCTACCCCGCCGTCGGCGTACAAAAGGGTTAAGGGGCAGGGTTAGTGTTTTTTTTTTTTTTTTTTTTTTTTTTTTACACTTGGCAGGGTAAAGTTCATTTTCTTGCAACGCTTGGATTTTATGTTGCTCACCAAATGTCCTCTGCTAAAACATTTGCATGTTTTAGTTATGCCACTTTTATTTTTAATATTTTGAAAGATTTGTTTTAAATTGGAAACTTCTTATGAATTAAGAGTTCCCATGTAAGTAAAATACAGAAGGATTTATGCACAAATGATCAATCTATCCCTATAAATGACTACCTGTTATTGGTTAAATTATTCTAGCCACCTTTCCTTTTCTTCTTACTGATGCTAAAAAAATAAATAAATAAAAAATCGCTCACTTTTCAATTCTTTAGTTGAAAGAAAGTGGCGCATGTCGTTTGCCCCGTCTTCATGTCAGCAGTTTATCAGTTACTCAATTCCAAGTTGGGAACTTCCAGATAATTAATGGAGCTGTGCTGATATGTGTCTGCGTGGGAGGATGGGATTTCCACTTTTAGAATGGATAAAAAATTAGGGTCATAAAAAGACAATTAGAATAGAAGTGTTTTGCAATGTTTTTAAACAAGTTTAGAGCACATTATTGTGGATTTGACTATAAGGCTAATTCTCTGGTGTACCTGCCTTGAAAAATACAACAAATAATGGAGCTTCACAAGGATACATCTGTAAAATGTCTGATTATGGAAATGGACAAAGGAGATATGACGCTCTTGTAAAAGAGATCTTTGATCTCAAGGAGTTTTATCTTGGTTAAATTAAAGTTGAAGAAGTAGCGATTTCTAACTTACAGGAAGTTGCACATACAGTCAGACATAAAGAAACGCCACATGCAGTATATTCTGTGTGTTTTTATTTGCTGAACCGGCCCTGAAACAAAATGTGATCAACCTTGACTTACTTAATTGACCTGGTAAAGTACTTTGACCTTGTCAGCACAAGGACTTCTATGCTCCACCAACGCACTGGCTTTGTGCCAGGACCTCTCAGGTGATTATACTCCACTGGGAATGGAAGGTTAACATTAAAATCAATGTCTCCTGTACTTTCAGGCATTCATGACTAACAGTGGTCTAAACTGTGCTGTGTAGTTACCCTGAGAGTATTTCAGTCTGTTTTTCTGTTTCTGAAATGCATCTCTGGGGGTTTCTATTTGCCATCACTTGAACGTCTCATCAGGCAAAGGCCAAAGTTCGGTGGGCCCTAATCAGAAAAAAATACTGCTTAGTGATTGTGCCTTTTTACGGAGACTTTAATACACACATGGACTTAATCTGGAGACTTTATAATTTTAACAATATGTTGAGTTCAGATTAAATGCACTGGAGACAGTTTTAAGTTTCTAAAGTCATTTCACTATGGTTGCTGTCCCCAAAGTGTTTCTATTGCCACAGTGTTTGCAAATGAGAGTATGAAGCTCAGTTGATACAACAGAGTTTAGAAATGTTGTAAAGATCAATTGTATTCAATGCAAACTCGAGTGTCATAACACTGCCCTGCATTATTTGTTAATGTTTATCGATTTCTGCATGGATTACATTGATATTTTGTGTTGCTCTGTGGTGACTAATCAGTTGATGTTTGGCCTTTGCCACTAGATAACGTAGCTGTTTTGTTAACATAAGCAAATATTACACCAATACACAGAGAAGATGCATTTTCTTTCATGACTGAATGAATCAGGGAAGTATATGATGATTCAAATATTACATGAAGAAGTCAGTTTACCCATCTGCATTTAAATTTATCAGTATAATTTAATGAGTTATTTGCATGTGGCATATTTTATGTGTAGCCCTGCAAAAATAGCTAGAATCTAACTATCAAGTTAGTTATTGTTACAATTCATAAATTCTAAATGTATTTCAGTCTTTCACTTGACAGTTTCTTCCTCAGAATTGGTAAGCACATTGCAAAAATCAGTGGCTTGATAAGGTAGTCAAACCACGGTGTGGATCTATATAAACTTCATGTGATCAGTAAAAGGGCTCAAAAGTCTGTAGTTGCAAAGAGTGACTGTTCTGTCTACGTGTATTGGTAAAGGCACCTCTTTCACGTGTAAAGTAATGAACCTCCTTAAGAATGCCATGTTTGATAGGCTAGATCAGGGGTGCTCAAGTCCAGTCCTCGAGAGCTACCATCCTGCAACTTTCAGATGCATCCCTGCTTCAACACACCTGAATCAAATGAATGGCTCGTTATCAGGCCTCTGTAGAGCTGATCCCGGTCTGTTGGAGTAAGGATACTTCTAAAACTTGCAGGATGGTGGCTCTCCAGGACTGGACTTGGGCACCCCTGGGCTAGATGGTTTCATCTCAGAGTGTCACCTTACATTCATATATTGCACAAATCAGCAAACCAGCCTAAGCTTCTTTGGGGATTATTATTGTTACTAATTGGCTATTGGCCTGATCGTTGATGATGTCACTTTTACATCCACAGTTTTCAACATACCTAAATATATGTATTTGGGTTAAATATCTAGCTTGTTTTGTCTCCAAGCGCCCTGTGTTTGCAACTTTGGACCATTATTATCTGTAGCTTCTGATAAGTTATCGGTAGATCTCTGTTATTGGGTAAGCACGAGCAGTGGAGCGTTGGGGAATGCTGAGCTAGTCATTCGCTAGAAGATTAGGGTCACCAGGAGTAAGGAGCTCTAAGCTCCATTTAAAAGCTCTGGGCGTAATTCACTAATTCATTCCCACTCGGTCTTATCTGTAGGTGACGCATTGCATGAGGAAAATCACAAGAAATTGTCCATAGCAAGTTATTGAGCTCTACTGGGACAGCAGGAGATTTTTACCCAGTTTGGAACAAGACTGGGGTGTGCCTCGCAGCAACACACAAACTGGGAGCTCTGAGGTTACTTGGTTCACACCCAGCAGGTCTTGCACCCATCGCCCTGCCCTCCGCTCACTGGCTTTGTCATTCCAGCTGTGATCGTGTCAGTGAACAGAGAGCATTATTCATGTCCTCAGAGGGGGGCAAATCCTAATTGAAATTCCGGTCTTTCCTACTGGAATGAAGTTGGTCCCGACAACACCAACTGTATTATCCTGGCCCTGTCACCTTGAAAGGCCCGTCTGAGGAGTGTTTCTTGGCAGCACAGGAAACCGATTAGACACAATGGCCATGTATCTGCGAAAAATAGGAGAAATGAAGCAGGACAGGATTTTGTGTGAATTGCAGCGTTACAGTGCTCATTTTCAATAGTTTAGTGTGAACCTGTCTTCTGTACTGCAGTAAATAAAGAGCTGGACTGTCTAGGGTTCCTGGCTGTCAGTGTGGTCTGCATGCTAATGACTGGGTGAATGAATCAGTGGCATTCTGATAGTGGAGAAGTGAGTACAAGGAACCCTTTTCTTTTTACTGCACCCTCACAAAAGTTTTTTTTTTTTGTCTCTCTTTTTATTCGGCCTGCAACTTCAGAACAGGAACTGCAAATATTCATTTGTTTATTATATTAAAAATGTTTTTGTTGGTTATGTGATGACTTTGTAATTTCAAAAATTTGGAGCTGAAACTAAACGTCTATATTTTTTTTCTTCATTCAGCCATAAATCAGTGCATGATGAGTATTTTTTACAAATATTTTGCTGGAATTTACTGTCTAAATGTGTCAAAATGGACTGCTTCAGATGTTATAAAATATGAAACGTATTGTTTAAAAAAAAAAACTACAGACCCATCTTTGTGTATTACTGTCAAGCATCTTGTTCTAGCTTGTCAGCCGCTCCTTGTCAGGTGTGTTCTGTCTTGTTGCTTGATTAATCAAGACTGGTCTCTGTGTGTTTGCATCTAGAATGTTAGGTACTGTTGATTTCTTGTGTTGTAAAATGTACTGACAGAGTCCAATCATAACCATGTTTGCATGAGGGGGGAAAAAAAATAAAAATAAACAGGAATCCACTGATTAAACTAACCTGAGCTTTTCTGACTTAATCACTGCAACAAGACTGATGTATGCTGTGTTGTTTTTCTATTTATGTTCAGATGTATTGTCCTTTTTATTTATTTATTTATTTATTTATTCTTTTTAGCACAAATGAGGTGCTCTGTCTTTTACAGTATTTGCATATAATAACTTTCATGGCACTCCGACTCATCTTGGAGTCAGAGTTGTCAAGTGGTTGGGAAACAAAAAGTGTAGATCAAAAGGCAGACGTTCAACAGTGTGGCAAGGGTAGAAGTGTAACAGAACAATATCAATGCCAGTAAATCATACTAATTAGTTAAAGTTATGCATCTAGTTATGTGAACTGACATGCATACACACAAAATGTAATCAGCCTGCCAATGTCAAAATAAAAAAGTTTCTTTACGTGACCTCTCTTTTCTGTCCCTTAGGGATCGAGCTGTGCCTGCCAGCATGGAGGTTTTCCATGACCATGGTGGCCAGCTTTGTGGTTTTGGGTGGTCAGCTCCTGATGCCCGGAGTGGCATACCTCTGTCACAACTGGCAGGTACTCCAAGCTGTCATCATCTGTCCCCTGCTGCTTATGCTGTCCTACATTTGGTAAGAAAAGAAAAAAAAAAAAAAAAAAAAAAAACTTTGGATTTTCCTCCGGGGGAGTTCAAATTTTTCTTTTTTTTGTTTTTT